CATTTAAATTATCTATTTAATCTTTGAGTAAAGCTTTTTTGTCCTTTGTAGTTACTGCAGCTTTGGAATATTAATAATTATTGTGATCCTAACTATGAAAAATCTGTCATATTTTGCAAGCATTTGCTAATTTGAACTTTTGTTCAGAGCTATAGTGCCAATATTCTGTCACAGCAAGTTTTAACGTCAAGCATCACAGATTCGTATCTCTCTTCAGTGTTTTGAGTAGAGAAAGCGCTCATTTTACATTTCTCACATGGTGAATATTTTTATTTCATTCTGTTTGTAGTTAGTAAACAACATTGTGGCTGCATGGAACATATTAAACTTCTTGCAATTTTTGTTGGGAGGCAAGTTAAGAAATACATCGCCAGTTGAATGTTAAGGCAGTGCTCACAAAATAAATATTGCAATATTTCATTTTTTATTCATGGATCAACTTATTATTCTCCTCATCAAGGGAACAGAATCTTGTTCATAAGTACCTCCTAAGTTTGACCTTGTGAGAATACAAAATAATTCCATTAAAATATACCACCAATTATGGTTTGAAATAGTGCCCGTGTCCATGAGAAACACCTCCGCTGTCAGCCACTACAAAGTCATTCACAGATTTATCACCGGGGAGAAGGGTACGTCTCTCTCTGTCTCTCATGGTTTACAACTCTGCTCTCTCTAGCTTCTGCTTATTCATGTTTGCAAATGGAAATTGAGTTGTCCAACATTATTACAAAAACACGAACCTTATTTTACAGTAAGATGGCTGCTGCTTTCTCACATTACACACAACTTCATATAAAATCTCCTAACCTTAATACTTGTTCCTCAGTTAATTAAAAAAAACACAATGAATGAATTTACAGTGTTCACTCTGATGGGCTGTGTGTGTCCCAACTAATTATTCTCATAAGTATCTGTCAGTAGTGCTTAAACTTGGCACTCCATAATTTGGTATGCTTGTACCACTGATGGGCCATCGCTCAGCAGGGGTCATCGGCCTTTCCTCCAAGCAGGGCCACACCAGTTAATTGAGGTTAATTTATATCTCTGAATAACTGCGAGCAGGTGCTGGAGGTTGATGGTGGTTGTCTAATAGAAGCATGTCATAAAGGAATTTTCCAGTGTGTTTCTTTCTGAGTATGGCTTCAGTAGGTCAGTTTGATCTTTGTTGACACGCGCACATCAATTATACTTTGTCATGTTTTTGATGTGTTTGTGTGGAGTAAAGAGACACAGAAAAAGAGTGAGTGTGTATGCTTCCCTTGTACACCTGATTACGTTTTGCCCTTAAAACATAACTGTAGAACATGTAGTGTTTGGATTCAAACGCTAAATAGTCTCTGTTTTACCAGTGTTCTGGATGTAAATTGCAGCATTATGAACACTTATGCGTATTACATGAAAACCACCACAGTTGATCCCAATTATTTGGAAAAATGGTCAGCATCATGGTGTGAAAATAAATTCTCCGGTCCTTTATATAATAAGCAATTATCCCCCACTCAGGTCCACCCATGTTTGTTGGCATGCCACAGCTAGGATGCCAGTTTCAGACACATCAGTGTACCCAGTGTTCAGTTAGAGGGGACTATGCTTGTTTTCCTTCTTCTATATTGATTTTAACATTGTTTATATAATATAAAGCTCTGCAGAAAATGATTGTCTGCCTGCCAAAAGCTTACATTTTTAAAAAAAAACGGAATTGAAGTACAGCTTAAAGGTGGGTAGGTAATTTTGGAGAAACCAGCTTGAGTCCGCTAGAATTTGAAAATACACAGCCGGAAAAAATCTGCCACTTCCTTACAGAGCCCCTCCTCCAACACACACGAACGCGCACATGACCAATGAGGGCACGANGGGTAATAACCGGAAAAGCATGACATGGGCCCATTAAGTATTTGTTTAACATGTTTGAATCAGCTAAGTACATGAAAGGATATAATATGGATTGTAGCGAGTTAAACAAATACTTAATGGGCCCATGTCATGCTTTTCCGGTTATTACCCGTCCCCTTGTGTGTTATGAAGGTTTTTATGCATGTAAATGGTCGGCAGAGTCACAAACCCTCAAAGCACACCCTGTAGGGAGTAAAACTCTAACACAGAAAAGACCTGTCTATGCTGCCCCAGAACGCCTCGTTGGAGATTTCTCATTTTCCATTGTTTTTTCCTGGGTATAGTGACGTGTGAACACCCAAATCAACAACAAATGACCGGATTGGCCCAAATGGACCAATCCGCGGAGCACGTCACACACCAGGATCCCTTGGCTAACTAACAGGGAGTCCCCATTGACTTGCATAGAGCTCCCTGAACGCTGGTAATAGACGAGTTGGGATCGCGGAGAAATGCTCTCCGCAGACCTATTCTCACAGCGTTATAAACCTTTTTCTTACTCAATATCAAGCCACACTTATTGTTTTTACTTCGGCTGTTAGTGTGTGGGGGTGTGTGTGTTTGTGTGTGTGTGCTCAGGATGAGTTTTGCGCTGTCTTGCTGTATCGCCGACCCGGAAATCACACCAGTAAGCCAGCTCACTGAGCAGCGAGCCTTGCAACGTCCCGACCAATCAGAGCACACTGGGCTCACAGGGAGGGGGGGCAGCTCCAACAAGCCGTTTAGGACAGAGAGTGAATACCGGTGAATACACATACTAGTATACAGAGATGCTGAATGAGAAACAAATGTGAGTTTGGAAAATTGCACAATTTAAATCTATTCTAGTAGACCTCAACAATGGAAATATGATCAGTAGAAATGGCCATGACATGGGCCCTTTAATGAAATATATTCTATACCTATTATTCCCCACCACCGCGCTACATTGAGTTCCTGAAGCACACTTTCTTTTCCTTGCAAAATGTAAAACTTCAGTAAGGTCAAATGAATTGGATGAATAAATCTTGGATTACAATCATAAGTTAAGTATGTAACCAAATGTTTTGATAAAGTTTTGCTGTTGTTGAACATGGCCCATATATGCTTCTATCGAGACTCTTCTGTCTATTATACTTATCTTATTAACCATGCAGGTATGCAAGAAAAACTAAGTTTACTTAATGAATTCAAGTTAACGTAATTGATATACAAATAGTCACTTTGTAAGTCAATTATTCCTTTAAGCACAACTAATGTACTTCTAGTGACAAGAATAGTGGATTAAAGATAATCTGGGACCTGGAAATGGCAGGTGAAATCACACGGAGCATTTAATGAGTGAACATGTGCATTTTGGATAAAAAGCAGTCCGTGCTCTGTCACTCGGACTACATCACTACATTGTCACGCTTTGTTCTAATAAGAAAACACAGCCTGTTGTGGTTTATTCTCAACTTAATTAAATTGTATCCTGAGCCTCTGTCTTATAAGCAACACAAAGCTGCCAGGAGAGCACTTAAGATGCTGTGCTCAGATTCCAGAGTCAGGAGGCTTTAGTTGAAGCGCACACAATCACAATAATATGGGTAGATTTGTAATATTGCCCTGCCACTGCTCCCTAAAGCAATCACAGCAAACTCACTGTGCGGTGGGGGTGACTAAATTGGATTATTGGCCACAAGCACTTTAATTTTCTTGTGGGGAGTAAAACGAATTCAGGATTGTCTGCATCACTTTGCCACCTCACTGAGAGAAGTAAATACTAGCAACATCTAAGTGAACTTTGACAGGGAGACTGTGTTTAAAAACTGTCCTCACTCAGGACTTCAAACCCTCCGTTAATGGAAAACTACACAAAGAAGTCTTCATATATGTCATTGATACTGTCATCGTACCCAGTTTGCCACAGGCGGTGTGAAAAAACAATGAACACATCTTGATGTTATCTCAGGTAATTATCAACTTAGTGCTAATTGAACCCATACACTACAGAGGAGCGGAATTGTTTGTCCTTGAACATGAATAAATGCAATGATTCCTGGAAGCAGAGATTTCATAATCACATCTTAATGACAGTGTACCTGGGTCACAGCTGTTTTGCCAATTTGGACAGGATCATAGAAATGCAAACTAGGGCCACCGAGGTGAAGCAAACCTAAACAAATCGGTTTAATCATTAAAGGTGGGGTAGGTAAGTTTGAGAAACCGGCTCGAGATACACTTTTTGTTATATTCCATGGAATGCTCTTAACATCCCGATAGCAATGAATATCTGAAGTGCTTTGACAATAAATCCATTAAAAAATGTCATCTGTGGAAGCCGTAGTACTGTAAAAAGCACGACCAATCATTTTAGCCAGCCCGGCTAAAATAACTGGATGGCCTGCCTGCCTGTCAGCCTTCCATCTGTGCACAAACTTATGTCGTGCCCTCATTGGTCATGTGCGCGTTTGTGTGTGTTGGAGGAGGGGGCTCTGTAAGGAAGTGGCAGATTTCTTCCGGCTGTGTATTTTCAAATTCTAGCACACTCGAGCTGGTTTCTCCAAAAGTACCTACCCCACCTTTAAGCAATCACAAAAACAAACCAAAGAAGTGAAATATATTAAACATCCAGTGCACCTTGCAATGACCCAACTGCTTACTTTTGTTTCCACAATGATAATCTTCCCCCTTTCAGAAAATCACAATATAAATGCTAATGAACCAACATTTGAAAAATCAGCTTTAGAAGCAGTTCTGTGGTTTTGTGTTTTCATTATGATAAGCTTGCCTCCCAAGCACTTTGTTTTTGCACTAAAATCCTGATTAGGGCCTGTGATCTTGCTGAGACGGATACTGCGGTCAAAGTTATCGAGCGTTACATTTTGCGGCACTTAACACACCACTCATGTGAATTTAGATCATGCTTGCAAGCTCAGGAAACATATGAACTACAGAACTGTGTAGGCCGAAGACTCGCTTCTATGACTTTCAAAAGCTGATCCAACACTTTTTGGCACCTACATGCTTAACCAACACCTTTTTCAAATAGTTAATTATCATATAATTGCCCTTGCAACATAATACAAATAAAATAGTGCAATTTACCTGTGATGTTCTGCACTGCCGAGTGTGACCTCAGCTTGCAAGAATACTATAGGATAAAGTATTTTTTTATACAGACCCTGCAGCAGAGTAAGTCAAGGTGAAGTTACTAGTAGCTCAGCAACAAACTTCATATGAAAGACAGCCAGTCATCACTGAAAGGGTGGATACTGCCTGCTGCTTCCTCCTGAGACTACGATGGACAGACTCACAGCTGCATGACACTTTTACCATCCCTATTATCATGTTCATGCTGGTTCATTTATGTGAATAAGCCCAGTCTGTTGTTTGCCTCTTCCTGTACTTAATATTATTGTTTTTAATGTTTTTGCATAATTAAACTAATACATGAGATTACCTTGTCATTTATATTCAGAAAAACATCACATAAAGGATTAATCTCTGAGAGGGCGAAAAGTAAGGGGACCTCTCCCTCAATGCCAACTTGAACAGCGGGGGCAAGAGACAGTGCGAGATATGTAATCAGCGGAGAAACTCTGTAGCTTAACAAACAGCACTAATTACACAGGGATAAAGACTTGTTCATCACACAGCTTTCGAGACACAAGTTAATTGCCTCTGCTTGCAGTTCCCCCTCTCCATCTAAAGTCAGCTTATTCCAATGTCACTTGTGTCAATGCTTTAAATGTATGTTTCCTCTGGTGTTTATTCTGTGTTTTTGGCCTTATTTCTTCGTGTGAATCTTACAGGAAATCAGTTTGAACCTGCACTGACAAATAATAGAAATGAAAGCCTCTGTTGATATTTTAATAGTCTGCTTTTACATCTGACGGAACACGCATGGAGTAACAAATCCATGTAGGATGTAGGCACACTAGTTGAAATCCATACCACACAAAGCACTGGGTCTGCAGCCCTGAGCGATGGAAGCTTTTCTTTCCTGTAAGGTTATCACCAGTAATATCAATGCATATATATACAGTATATAGAGGTCACAGAGCAACGATATTCAGTATGAAAACATGGACATTGGATTTATGCCATCCAAGCATGTACCACGGAGGTACTCTCCAGCTGTGCCTTTGGCAGCAGAGCTGTGTGAATCAATAAACTAAAAATACACTGAATAATGTGTTCAAGATGGTATTTAGACGTGTTTGTATGTAGTACATCTTTTTTTCTGCTATGCTTGTGTCAATTTGAGTGCCCAGGCTGTGAATAGTGTCAAGGACGGTTACGTGTACTTTACTGTTTAACGTGATCCAAATAAGCATGGAGAAATAGAAATTAAAAAGTGAGGACATTTAAAGTCAAAATATTCAACAGTCAACGGTGGGCTTGTTATGGCAGTCGAAAGACTCGAATTATCAAAGCAGAGCAGAAGGCAACAAGTGTAGAGGGAGGGGAAGGCGGTAGTGAATCACACACATAAGTCTCTCAACATTTTGTCAGCAGGGGATTTAAAAATATACTTGTCTACTTATCCAATATTGAGATATTCCTATCACATGAACTGTAAAATGATGAGGCAAGGAATTGCACCAGCGGCATTTTCTCCTTCATAATTTTCTATTAACCACTTAGAAACAGCTCATCCATAATCTGTTACCTGGGGGAATCACATGATTCACATCTGTGATAAAATGTGTTCCTTATCCTCTTTTTAAATCGAATACTGTATTAAGATATCCCAGCAGATTGATGTGAGGGGTACATTTCATGTTGTCGCATGAGGTTTCATAAATACAGCAGCCTTCATGCAGTGTGGAGTTCAGCTGACATGAACTGTAATATCACTACATTATTAAATAATCAACTATAAAGCTTGCTTTTTAGAAAACACATTTCATCAATTCCTTGACAAATGTTGTCAAGCTGAGGTCAGTCCAAGTTCATATTCACTGAGAGCCTTGAAAGGATTTGCATGCTTTGTCAATGTTTTTGTTGTTTGTACATCTCCTGATGGCCTAACAGAGACAACCAGTGAGACTGGTGTAAGAACACGGCTTTGCACTTCCATGAGACACGTACGATTTCATGTGAGACAAAACAGACAAGAAAGTAAATCTACCGTTGCATTTCCACAAGGCTATTGAAAACTGAAGGACATTTAAACTGAATTCAACTGTTTGGAGATTTAAACCAGTTTTACAAAATATCTAATGAGTTGTGATATATAGCCTGTGGGTTAAGAAATGTTGTGATTTAATGGTTCTCAATTCTTTTTACAAGAATGGATACATTTTCCTGACAACTGCAGTAGAATTGCCCAACTTAAAAGGCACCTTTCCAGCGAACTGTTTGCATCTTGTGACTTTTATCTCACGCTGCGCAGCTAACACAATAAAATCCTGAATCCACAACTACTAAATCCTCACATAGTCCCTCAGGCAAAACCATATCATCCAAGCTGTTTGTTTGTTAGTCTGATGTGCACTGAATACTGTCTTGTTGAAACCATAGACTGAAACCTATGTTATAAGAAACTGACTTTTATATGCGAGGAGGAATCCTGAATGGTATGAATTTAAAGACGAGGAACCAGTGTTGGCTCTTGACAACATATACCAACAGGTAGAGCTGCTACAGGCAGCCCTTAACACACAGGTTTTAATATATGGGAACCAGACACACACACCTGCCGTTGAGCAAGGCAAGGAGCTCCCCAGCATGGTACAGGTCGTTGCGCGTCACCCTGCTGAAGCGGAAGGAGTTGAGGTTGCAGAAGGTGACAGAGGGGAACACCATCATCGGAGCCGAAACCTCGTCCAGCTTGGTGACGTGAGGGTACTGGAAGTACAACTGCACCCGGTCCACGCACACCATCACCAGCACACCCACGGAGCTCAGGAAAAACAAAATCCACAGTGTGCGCTTGATACACATCCGCTCATAAGTGAACATGTGCGAGATGCCATGCAGCGTGGACCTGCTGGCAAAAACTTCAATGGGAGCCGGCCGCTTGTAGTCCATGTCCTCAGAGTCCGCTTTGAGATCCATAGTGCCCCGGGATGAGTTGGGATGAATGAAGGGTATAGGATTGCACACGGAGGAAACTGGCTTTATAGATAAGCAGATGCTTTATAAACGGGAAAGGAGGTTAGTGTCTGTAAGTTCACGCCCTTCTACGCATGTATTTCTCATGCAGTCTGTTTGAAATGTTGCGTCACTGACAGCCGGCAAAACATCCGAGCATTTTACCCAAGACACCCTCAAAATACTCCGTTCTTACGTGGTGAAAATCCTTAGAGAAAGTGTAGATGTAGAAAAACGTGTGCAGTAGGTACCTCGACGTGGGTCACAGTTCCATAATAAATAGCCCGGTGTGGAGCGCGCATGGATAGATGCCAATGATGTCCTCTCTCCTCGCACACTTCTGTGATATTACCGAGTTGGTATTTGATTTCCACGCTCAAAACTCAAAAACCAACTGGGCAGGTCTGTAGCTAAATAAAAAACTGTTTAGGAGGAAGAAAACAAACGGTGGAATCACCCTAGCGAGGAAAATGTGAATAAGAAAATCAAAGCGGCGGTGTATTCTCTCCCTCTGTGTGCACGGCACTGGCTACATGGCTTTCCCAGCTCTTCATATGCAATCCCAACACGTGCAGAATAACAAATAGCCGCTGATTTCTCGCCAGGTAGCGTTTTAAGAGCAGTCGTCAGGGTGTCCGCGTTTTCTTCACATCCAGCATAAACAGCTGCATCACAGAGGAGCAGGGTCCGTCAGAAAGCCGCCTCTGCTCCACGCATCCATCCCCTCCTCCGAGCTGCCTCCACAACAATGCAGGGATAATTAGCCTACTCCGGTTTCTTTGGATTCCAGCTGGTTTACCCTTGAATAAAAGTGTTCTGAGGGGGAAAATGTGTATCGGGGAGAAACAAATAATTACCACCCGAAACGCTCAGTGATGTGAATTGAAGGGAAAGCACCAGAGGTGGTCGCGGTTTACCCGGATAAATTCGCTCTGCAGGAGAGAGCACGGATAGGATGGCATGTGGTTTTACACCGGGTGACGAAGTCGGTGTCACTTCAGCAATACTTGTGTTTAACTAAGAAGTGGGGATATGTTACCGAGTCTACAATTTCAACAATGTCAAGACAGCATGACTAAAAAATGTGTCATTCCCTTTAATGCAAGTTTCCCCACTACTCTCCTTGCTGAAAGCTAACATTAGCTTATTGAAAACGAGCTAGTATCAAGTTTTACTTTCTGTGGAAAGTTATAATTTTTATTCTGTAAAACAAATGTTTAGCAACAAGTTATAGTATCATTTACAGAAGATTAAAAGTGAGATAATTTACCTGTGCTCTTTATTGAACTCGGCCTACTGTTGTTAGCTCACTTAGCTAATGAAGGCAAATTCAAACAGCATTCATGTAACATAAGCTAAGGTATGGTGGCCCTTAAGACCAAAACAACGGCTAATTTCAAGAGGAAAATTATCCATCCATCCCTCTTCTCCCGCTTATCCGTGGTCGGGTCGCGGGGGTAGCAGTTCCAGCAGAGAGCCCCAAACTTTCTTTTCCCTGGCCACATCAACCAGCTCTGACTGGGGGATCCCAAGGCGCTCCCAGGCCAGCGAAGAGATATAATCCCTCCACCTGGTCCTAGGTCTACCCCTTGGTCTTTTCCCAGCTGGACGTGCCTGGAACACCTCCCTAGGGAGGCGCCCGGCATGGCATCCTTAACTAGGGCACGAAACCACCTTACAACTGGCTTCTTCGACCGCGAAAGGGAGACAGGTTCAAACTCCGAGTCCCCTCCCGGAGACTGAACTCTACCTTTACCCTAAGGGAGGACCACCAGCACCCTGCGAGAAAACCGCATCTCGGACCGCTAGTGTACCGCGATCTCGTTCTTTCGGTCATGACCCATCCTTGATGACCATAGGTGAGGTAGGGAACGAAAATGGCTCCTGTAGAAGAGAGGCTTTGCCTTCTGGCTCAGCTCCCTTTTCGTCCCACAACGTGAGGTAAACGACGCGAGGTAGCGCCCCGCTGCTCCGATTCTCCGGGACCATCTCATGCTCATTGTTCCCTCACTCGAGGGACAAGACCCCCGAGATACTGTGAATCCTTCACTGTGGGTAGACTCGGATTCCGGCTACTGGGAGGTGGACGAGTCCATCGGGTGTTCTGCTGAGAAGCGTGGCCCTCAGATTTGAGGGTGGCTGA